CCACAGCTCCACTTCTGGCTTTTTGATGATTCATTGGAGATAAGAGTCTCAGGGACTTTTCCTGCCCTGTGTGGTCTTGAACCTTGATCCTCAGATCTCAGCCTCCTGGGTAGCTAAGGATGATAGGTGTGAGCCACCGGTGCCTGCTCATCTGTCTTAAATGGAGAGATATACTGCTATATATTGATGTTGGCATTTGAAACAGCCTGAATTTCCGCCTCCCCCCCCCTTTTTTAAATAAATAAAGGCTTAGGAGGTTTGGGGCATGGCTCAAGTGATAGAATATTTGCCTAACAAGTATGAAACACTGATTTTCATGCTAGTGCCAAACGCACAGAAAATGTTTAAAGATTGTAACATTCATGAAGTCAAGCTAAGTAGAACAATGAGTCATAATTCTCTTACTCTGTGATGAACGTTTGCTGTATAACCTTTCAGACTAAAGTCTTTTAAGTATGTGCGTATATTTATTTATGTGGTAATGCCATCTTTTTTTTTTTTTTGGACCAGTCCTGGGGCTTGAACTCAGGGCTGAGGCTCTGTCCATGAGCTGCTTTTTGCTCAAAGCAAGCACTCTACCACTTGAGCCATAGCTCAATTTCCCGTTTTCTGTTGGTTCATTGGAGATAAGAGTCTCATGGACTTTCCTGCATGGGTGGCTTTTGAACCACAATCTTCAGATCTCAGCTTCCTAAGTACCTAGGGTAACAGGCCTAAGCCACTGGCGCCAGGCTAGAGTCTTACATTTAATATACGTTCTTTATTATATGTACACAGCTTATCTCTTGAAATCCCCTTTGACTATGTCAGAAGGCAAATACTTGTTTAAGTTCCTCCTTCCTTTTCTTTGGTGTTTATTCAGCTTTTAGTGCCGAAGTCTGCTGGTGACTTTGGAAGGTATAAAATGTATTCAATGAGATTTTAGCGGTGAAGGAAATTTGTTTTCCAGTAGAGAAGATGAGAAAGGAGAAACAGCATTTATTAAGCATTTTGTATTATGGTAGCCTTCCCATACTTGGGCCTATGGAGCAACTATCACAGTATGGAGTGGGGCAGGGTAGAAAGGAAGAGCAAGGGCTTGAATAAATGAAAAGCTATATAAAGTACTACTGGAGGATTGGCGGGGGGGGGGGGGGGGGGGGGGGAAGTGGCCTGGTCCTAGAGCTTGAACTCATGGCCTGGACTCTTACTTTTCTGTGCTAAAGGCTAGTGCTCTACCACTTGAGCCACAGAACCACTTCCCACTTTTTCTGGGTAGTTTATTGGAGATAAAGAGTCTCACGGATTTTTCCTGCCCGAGCTGGCTTCAAGAAGGTGATCCTCAGATCTCAGCCTCCTCAGTAGCTAGGATGACAGGCGTGAGCCACCAGCACCCAGCTCACCATGTTTGTGTGTATGTGTGTGTGTGTGTTTTTTCTTTGCAGAAAGAAATTCAAGCCATGAGCCAATGTCACCATCCTAATATTGTGTCTTACTACACGTCCTTTGTGGTCAAAGATGAGCTGTGGCTTGTCATGAAGCTGCTCAGCGGAGGTGAGTATGGCCTGGCTTGGAGCGTCCACAAGGAACTTGGAGAAGATAGGAAGACTCTTCTCAGTTCCAGTGCTGCAGCTGAGCCCAGACAGAGCTCACTCTGTGCGTCTTAAGCCTCTTAAACTTCTTTGTTAAGGATGGCATCTCCCTCCCTCCATTTCTCTTCCCATCCCAAGATAGGAACTTCATGTACTGTCTTACTCTGTTACTTCTTGATGTGATGTTAAGTATGACTTATTCTCCTCTATTTCTTGCGTGCTGCACATGAGATGAAAAGGCTTGTTTACATTCAAGTTAAACTGGTTTGGGGGCAGAATGGTGTGTGTGTGTGTGTGCGTGCGCATGTGTGCATGTGTGCGTGCATGTGTGCGTGCATGTGTGTGCATGTGTGTGTGCATGTGTGCGTGCATGTGTGTGTGCATGTGTGCGCACGTGCATATGCAAGCCTGGGCTATCAGTATTGGGTCGCATGAAGAAACATTTGCTGGGGGCTGGGAAGGTGGCTTAGTGGTAAAGTACTTACCTAGCATGCATGAAGTCCTGGGATCTATTCCTCAGTTCCACACACACACAGAAAAAGCAAGAAGTGGCACTGGACTTCAAGTGGTAGAGTACTAGCCTTAAGCAAAAGAAGCTCAGGAAGAGTTCCCAGGCCCTGAGTTCAAGCCCCAGGACTGCCCTCTCTCCCCACCCCCCCAGAAAAAAAAGAAATATTTGCTGGTGTGTGTGTGTGTGTGTGTGTGTGTGTTTGCTGGTATTGGGGCTTGAACTCAGGGCCCAGACGCACTGTCCTGTAGCATTTTTACTGAAGGCTGGCACTCTGCCTCTTGAGCCATAGCTCCACTTCCAGCTTTTTGTTGGTTCATTGGCAGTGAGTCACACAGACTTTCCTATCTGGGCTGGCTTTGAACTGTGATCCTCAGATCTCAGCCTCCTGAGTAACTGGGATGACAGGCATGAGCAATTAGCACCCAGCCATAATTGTTTTCTTAACAGTTATTTTGAGAATGAAAAGTTGGGTTTTCCTTTAATCTGTTGCAGCAAAGCAGTGATGTGTTGAGTCCAAATGGCTCTAAATGATCTCTGAGCGGGTTCATTTTTTTTTTTTTTTTGGGTTCCGTCATGAGGCTTGAACTCTGGGCCTGGGCGCTGTCCCTCAGCTCTTCAGCTCAAGGCTAGCGCTCTACCACTTGAGCCACAGCGTCACTTCTGGCTTTTTTTTTCTGATTATGTGGTGCTGAGGAATCGAACCCAGGGCCTCAGGCATGCAAGGCAAGCGCTGTACCACTGAGCCACCTTCCCAGCCCGGGTTCATTTCTTACAGTGAATTCTGTTGTGTGTTTCAGGATCAGTTCTAGATATTATTAAGCACATTGTGGCCAAGGGGGAACACAAAAGTGGAGTCCTAGATGAACCTACCATCGCTACGATACTTCGGGAAGTCTTAGAAGGGCTAGAATATCTGCATAAAAATGGGCAGATTCACAGGTATGGAAGCCGTGACATCATCCACACTCTTCTGAGTTTTCACATTGCTCGTGCGTGCCTGTGTGTGTGCGTGAGTGTGTGTGCGTGTGTGTCCGTCCGTCCGTCCGTGTCCTAGAGCTTGAACTCAGGGCCTTGGAGCTGTCTCTGAGCTGCTTGTGCTGAAGGCTGGTGCTCTACCACTTTGAGCCACAGCTCCATTTCTGGTTTTCTGGTGGTTAATTGGAGATAAGAATCTCACAGACTTTCCTGCCTGGGCTGGTTTTGAACTGAGATCCTCAGATCTCAGCCTCCTGAGTAGTTAGGATTACAGGCATGAGCCACCAGCGCCCGGCTCATTTTTATTTTTTTTGTACCACTGCTGGGACTTGATCACAGAGCCTGGCACTTTGCTTCTTGCTCAACACACGCACTCTGCCGCTTGAGCCACACCTCTACTTCCAGCTTTTTTTGCTGGTGAATTGGACATAAGAGTCTCATGAAGTTTTCCGCTCAGGTTGGCTTCGAACCACAGATTTTCAGATCTCGCATACTCTCTTGAGTCACCAGGATTTCAGGCACTGGTCCCCGGTCTAGACAAGGTGATTTTGATCAATATATACTCTGTCTATGCATAGGATTATTGCGATGAAATGCCCTTGTCTAACTAGTACACGGTAAACATTAAAAAAAGATTGGATATGTTTTCTTTTCCTTTTTTTTGTATGGTTTTTATTATAAAAATGCTGTACAGAGGGGTTACAGTTACATGAGCAAGGTAATGAGTACATTTCCTATGGAGTTTCACAGCCCTTTCACCTAGACTGGCCTT